GGGGAAGGAATAGTCCACGTTTATCGGCACACAGTACTCAGCTGGCTCAGGAGTGGGTTGGTGCAAACCTGGAAGCATCTACAGCTGGCATTCGTTCCTGCCCCCACTCAGAGCTCAAAGCAAGCCCACTTGTTTTTCTGTGTTGTAAACTTAGATGTGTGACCCAAGGTATGTGCGGACTCTCAAGAGGTTAGGCCTGGCTGTGCAATCCAATCGGGTCAAGAGGAGGAAGGAGTTGGCTGGCTGCAGACAAGGGGAAGCCACTCTCTGTAGCAACATCCCACACAATTCCGGTGAGAGAAGGCAAGCTAGGCAGGCTCCAAGGAGTAGTAATGACTAATGTGCCTCTCTCTCTCTCTCTCTCTCTCTCTCTCTCTCTCTCTCTCTCTCTCTCTCTGTGTGTGTGTGTGTGTGTGTGTGTAGGGGATGAGATCAAGAGGAGGGGGAGGAGGCAGAAATCCTTTGTTTTCAGTTCTATAAAGCTCCAAGAGTAAGCACTGGCTTTAATGAATGGTCATTTCTGCAGACTGTTCTCACAGGCCACAGCTTTGCAATACCCAACAGTGACTGTGCATAGAAGGATGCCCTGGTGGTGGTGGTGGTGAGGACCACAGTAGCTAGAGGACCCAAGAAGTGGGCATTTTAACAAACACATCTTCTTGGCAGGGAAAGAGAACACATGATTGAGGGCTGCAGAGCCAAAGCTTTAGGGGGGCTTTTATATTTCAGTCACACGGTATTTGTTGGCAACAGGGAGGGAGGTAGGAGAATAGGGCAGATCAAACCATGCCTGGCCACATGGTCTTGGCCTGCCTTCCCTTCCACATCAGCATTTGGTTTGGACACTTCCTTTCATAGTACTTTCAATGACTAGGAGGCAACGTCCCAAAATCCAGACCTGCCCTGTAGTCCTTCTCTGCTCCCAACTCCAGGGAGTCTCTGTTGGCCTTCCAAGGTGACAATGCAATCTAGAGTTCAATCAGACTTGGTCCATGGCCAGGGCTCCTTTCCTCCTCTCTCTTCTCCTCTCTCTCCTCCTCCTCTTCCTCTTCCTCCTCCTCCATCACACGAATTGTTTCTTAACCTGTGCTGGACCCTTATCGGCTCCTAGCAGAAAAGGCCACCTCATTCAGCAGCAAAAAGCACACACAACTCACCATTGCCACCCTCTTTCCATGTGAGTGGGCCTGTGCCTGGTCTTGACCATTATACTAGCCACCCCATTCCAGACCTTCTGTTTCTTCTGTTTTGAGACGGAGACTCGCTATGTAGGTCTGGATGTCCTAGAACTCACTATGTAGACCAAGTTACTTTAGAACTCACAGAGATCCACCTGCCTCTGCCTCACAAGTGCTGAGATAAAAGGTGTGTGCCACCCCACCACACCTTTCTTTATGCCTCATAAGCATTTTAGACAGGCCTCCTGGAGCTCCTTGCTCAGGTACACCAGTCCAAGCCAGAACCAATGCTCTGTTGCAGAAAAAGACAAGCACTCGGTCTCTGCAGTGGCTTCCTTTTCTTCCACACACTTCATCTCCTTCACTTGGTTCTGTGTCCACTGACCCTTTCCTGATGAATTGCTGGACTGATTATGATGCCAGCTGCTCCTCGCTTCCTGCTTAGATACTGACCAGCTGGGCAACTTCCCCAGAGAGTCTGTGCATGCCCAGAGGGATTTCTCTCCAACTGTGAGATACTGCAGAGAGGCACTAGATAGTTTCAAATCTTTTTGTTGACTCTTCTTATCCCAGGAAAGAAAAAGAAAACAAAACTAAAAGATGAATTTGAGAGAGGGGCTAGAGAGATGGGTGAGCTGGTAAAGTGCTTTCCAGGACCCGAGTTCAGATCTCCAACATCCCTGTACAAAGCCAGGCACAGCAGTGTGCACCTGTAATCTCAGTGCCGAGGAGGTAGAGACAGGAGGATTTCTAGAGCTTGCTGGCAAGGCAGTCTAGCTGAGTTGGTGAACTCCAGGTTTAGGGGGAGTGTATCTTAGAAAAGAAAGATTGTGGATAACACTGGATATCTTGTGTATGTGCAAAAACCATGTCTATAAACATACAAACATGCTACCCACCCCTAAAATGACTTGTAAAGAGATGTCAGTTTTGGAGATAATGAGCTTCATGCAATTTGGTCAATAAAATGTTCTCTCCAGCACCTTAAACAACCCAGCATCCTGAGGTTAACCTTGAGTCTCTGCCAGGAAGTGATGAAGAACAGGAGAGTCTGTGTTACAGTTTGCAGTTGACGCATGCATAGCCAGGACATCTCTGTCCATGAGCACAGCAATGGCTTGTGATGAGGCAAAGGGAACTGCCACGTGGATGGGAGTGAGGCATGACTCCCTCTACCATTGTAAACTGGGAGACAGGATAGAGCTGCCTGACTGTGGCACAGGCCAGGTCTATACGACAACCCAGTATCCTTTCTGTGCTCCTCTCTGTGGAGAACATGAATGGGGTGTTTTACTTTCTCCATCCTTCAGCAGACAGGAACTGATTCCCATCAGTACCTGAAGCTGCTCTTTTAACTGGATGGTGGGGAGGTGGGACAGGAAGACAGGGAGGGAATGAGCAGAGGTCTGTGTGAAATGTTGGTCCTCCTCCAATTGCCTAGTATTTTCTACTGTAGAGTCTTTGGGCTGTGAGGAGATATCCCTCACAAGAACAGATATTTCAAGGCTAAAGGTTCAGTCTAATCAAACTTACAATGATGCACACAATTCAAACTTTGTCCAATTTTCATTCCTCATCTGGCTATCTCCAATTTTAGGCTGTAGGCTGATGCTATGCAGGGTTCTGGGCTACATTTTGGGGCCGATATGCTTCAAGCTAGAGATCATGGGGACTTCTTAACACTGCACCCCACCCCACCCCCAGTGTAGCTTACCAGCCATACCCTTCTATGGAATAACTTCCTCATATAGGAGAGCCAGTGCAGAGGATTTCCCCTGATTATTTGAAGCAAACTCTGCTTTATTAACCATGAGGTGCAGTGTAGAAGACATGAGATTGTTTGATGCTTGTGCCCAGTATTTTTATCACACTCCTGCTTCCAATATGTCTTTATTCTAGAAAGCCCATTTTACATGGACAGGTATAGCTGACTTTCCCATGCAATGCCAGAGGAATGGACATTAAGACTCCTTTCTGGCCAGAGAAGTCTATCTTAAGGTTATGTGACAGGGTCAATGCTGAGTATATGGTCTAAATCAATCAGTATGCTTTATGGATCTAGGGCTGTCGGGTCCCTCAGGACCTTCTTCCAGTTCTCCCTTCCCATGGAGGCGGGTCATGATCCTTTCTTCTTTTCCTCTTTTTGTCATGAATCTTACTTGTATTTTATCATACTTTTTTTTTTTTTTGGCCTACTGACTACAAATAGCATTGTAGTCATGAAAAAATGAGCATAAGGCCACTGGGGCAGCCTCCTGTCTCTAACACTCCCAGAGGCTGCCATTTGTGCTCTGGAAAGGAAGCACCTGGCATCTGTGGATGCATCTCCTCAGTGTTCTGTTCTGCATCTGTAGGGTTTCTCTTGTTCCTTGGCATCAAATGAAATGCCGCTGTGCCACCCTGTATAAGTCACACAAAGACTGAGGCTTTGCTCTTGGGAAAGAGAAATTGCTGTTCTCAGAGATGAAGTGCAAGTTCAAAAACTCAGAAGCAGGGGGATTGTAAATGGAATGTGACTTGAGGAAAGGCACAAAGAGGAAACTGAGTCACAGATGGCCTTCTTGGCTGACCCTCTCAATCTCTCACTAGTCCATCAGGACAATGACAAGCTAGTGTTCTGCGAGGCTATTGTATGTCAGCTGCCAGCTGGTGCTTATCTTTGAGGCAGAATGGTCTAGAATTTGTAAAGGCATTGAAAAGGTCTTGTCTGTCCACTGCAAAGGCAGACATGCCGGCCCAAAGTTGTTGTACTTGAAAGTTCTGGGCTGTGCATCTCCATGAAGGTGAGAGATTGTACATCTACCTCAAGGACAGAAAGGCAAAAGTTTTCTTATCGCTCCAGTGCTACAGCCATTAAAAGCCTTTGAGTTCTTAATAACAGAACACTCAGTGCTCGGCCACTAGCAGGAGGTAAACAGCCTCTGGGAGGGAGTCTTGACACTGCTCAGCATTTGAATCGCCAGCTTTGGCTTTGAGTGCTGAAGCTCACACTTGCAACTGAGTCTGGAAGTTCTGTGTCATGAGTCCTTTGTAAAGGAAATGAAGATGATGGTGTTGTGAATGAAGCCCCAGGTTTGCTCGTCCTGAGCCTCTCCTTAAGATCCATCATCTGCAAACATACTACTCTAGTTCAGGCCCCTTGGCTCCCCCTTCTCTCTGTCAACTCCTTGTCACTTAAATCCACAGACAAAGGCATTGGCATAAGCAGATGGCATCTGCCCTTCTGTTCTCTCCAAGTTGGCCTTTGCCTTTATCAGGAAATGAAGTTTAAATGAACAAATTCTATCATTTCCTCCTTACACAATGGAACAAGAGCCTCCCGATTCCCCGACAATATACCTCTTGGCAAAATATCTTTTCTCCCTGTAACTTTCTTTCTTCCTATATCTTTTCTTTCTGTAACTGTCAGTTACTGTAGGTGATCAGTACATACAAGGCCCCAGTAGATGTAAAGCAAATGAGCTCATTTAAACCAGCCTTGTAGATAAACACTGAATATTTACCAGCCCATAAAACCCACTTGACCAGCTGACATGGCATAAATCAAATGACAGTAGATTCTGGTAGATGATAATATTGATAATTACATGTTTGGGACCTCTCCAAGGAAGAT